TTATTACATATTTTATATTTTATTTCTCAGATATAGTTCATATTTGTTATGTATAAATACATATTAGTTAATAATAATTTAAAGATAAAAATAATTTATTTTATTGATTATTTGATACATGAAACTTTGTTGTTCAGACATTGACGTTTTCCATTAAAGTAAATTCACTCATTATCGTACACATATACACTCTCTCGCTCTTGTCTATTCTCTTTTCGAATTTTGTGTTGTTTTCCTTCCTACCATTCATATGTCACACACTCTACCACTTTCTCAGTCCCACCTTTTGTCGCATTATTATATACCCTTTTCTGTTTTCTTTCCTATATCTTCTCTTTCTCACTCTCTCCTCCTTTCGCTCTTTTCTGTGCTTTTTCTCTTTTTCATTCCTACCTCTTTTTTACTTCTCACTCTTATCCGCTCTCTTTCTTGCCTATACCCTTCCCTTTTCTGTTTTTCTGTCTTTTCATTTCTACTTCTCTCTCTCTTTCTCTCTCTCTCTCTCACTCTCTCTCTCTCTCTCTCTCTCTCTCTCTCTCTCTCTACACACCTCTCTCCCACTTTCATAGTCATTTTCTCTCCTATCCCATTCTCACTTTCTCTCTATTATTTTTTCTTTTCTGTTTTTCCTTCTCTTTCTCTCTCTCTCACACACACACAAGCCTCTTATTTATTTATCTGGATCTCTCTCTTCATTGCTCTCTTCTTCTATTTACTTTTCTTTTCATCTTTTACCTGTCTTTTCTCACCTTCTCTCTCTTAGTAATGTCTCTCTCTATCTATCTAAAACGAGTTCTATATCGTAATATACTTTAATGTAGGAACCAAACCAGAAAAAAAAAGTCACTTTTCTCTGTTTTCTCGGTCTGTCTTGAGGAAGTTCAAGCTTTCGCAATTGTATTATTAAGGACTATTCTTAAGGAAGGGATAGGATTATTCTTAATATATCTAACTTTGTGAATTTTATAGTAAATAATTTGTGTTAAAATTTACCTATCATCTAAGTTCAATTTCACTCGAACTCACCTCATTCAAAGTTTCTCGCTCTTTTCTACTCTCTCCCTTTATGTTTTTTCCCTGGTATATCTTCCCATTTTCTTACTTTCCGCTATATTATTTTCTTCCGTTCTTTTCCCTCTCGTTCTCTGTACACCTGACTCTCCCTCACTCTTTCTTTATTCCTCTACCTATTTAACCTTCTATTTTATTTAGTATTCATCTGACCCCTCTTCCTCTTTTCCCTTAACATCATCTATCTATCTATCTATCTATTTATCTATCTGGATCTCTCACTTCTCTGCTCTGGTGTTATTTGATCACTTCTCTTTTCTTTTCATAATTATTCAGAAATCGTGAGATGCGATCTGGTGTGATGTAGGTCTCAGAAACACATTTTGAGAGTGTGTACACGACACGCAAGAATGGCATAATTACATCCCACCAGACCGCATCTCACGATTTCTGAATAATTATCGATTAACGGTCACTAATCACCACACATTTCTTTTCATATTTTTCTGATCCAAATTACTACGCGCTTAATGGTAAAAACGTACACGTGTCTTAACTTTGCGTAAATACTCTCACTCTCTCTCTCACATTCTCTCTCTCTCACATTCTCTCTCTCTCTCTATCTATCTATCTTTATCTCTATCTATCAGTCTTTTCATCACTCTTTTACTCCACTACTTCTTGCTATTTTTAAAAAAAATCTGTATCGAAATGAAGAAAAGTAATTGTAGTTCTACTGGAATATTATATTTACATTCAACTTTATATTTACGTTCTGATTTATATGCGTAACCTAGGATTATTTAATGATTTTGTTAACCCCAATTGATTTCACATTGGATTTAATTGGTGGGTCTAAAGTAAACAGGACAAATCGGCGCCCTTTGCCTTTGTGGTCCCGAAGGGTTCCTGTGGGATAAGGAACCCACTTAGCCGTTAATTGAATTCCTAATCGGGCCGGTTCGAAACGCGGATTTAAGGCCGAACGCTTCCTTTAATTATTCACCCCGGCCTGGAAAGTTTATTTGCCATTTTGGAGGATTATCGCTTTAAGCCAACAACCTCCCAATCACTGGTTAAACCATAACGATTGCCAAAATAAAAAAAAGACTCTTTTAACACAAACGACACTGCATGACCTTATTCGAGAAAAAGAGATAAGTAAATGTCATTCGCGTGGCATAATTTATGCTCACTCCTGCCTGAAATGATATGCAAATGAAAAGCATTCGATGCCCTCCCTTCATAGCCCCCATCGAAAGATAACTGTTAATTGGAACATTAAAAAGTCGGTAATTAAGAGTAAGTACAAAAAATTTAACGCTGGAATAAGTTTTGTAAAATGTTTTATCACTTTTTATGAGCATTAAATGTCCTGTTTTGTTAAATCCCTTAATTAATTTATGTAACTTGTACACCCTTATTATCAGCCAACTTTTAGCAAATGCTTAACACGTGATTATCCTACAAAAATATCAATTTATATATGTTGTTATATATTATTTTAGTAAAAAAATAAATGCCATTTCAAATACCTTAATGAACACATACCACAAAATCACATGGTATGAAAATATGTAATTATATGAAAAATTCATTTCTTTTTTAGGTACATAAATACATTAAAATGCAAATAAAATACCAATTACTCATTTATTAATTTTTGCAATTTAGGCTTTATTATGAAATTTCACTGTGAGTTTTGCGGAGAGATGAATCTGTAATTTGGCCTTTATGGATCATTTTAGTTTGTCTATTATCTCTAAGGTGGTCTGTCACGCGTTTGGCCATCTTATTCCAGTCATTAGGCTACATTTAACTTAATAGCTTGTATAAAGAAATAAAAAAAACACAACCTATAAAGTCATAATAAAACCACCATAACTTCATTTAACCAATTGAACATATTGTAAAGTTCTCTAAATAAGCTATTAAAGTTTTATGTTCATTATTTACATAATATGTATGATAATTTTAATTTCGATTCTTTATACCCGGAGAAAAAGTTATAATTTAAAGGAAGTAAATATTAATTATTTTAGATTTATATAATAATTATTGAATGCTGAATTTATACTTTCATTTTTACCGCAATGTGAGGTCATACATGGTATCAGGAAGGTAACGAGAATAAACTTGGCAGTGATGATCAGTTAAGGTTAACTTTGTAATATTGCGGTTTAAAAACTCATTCTGAATATGTAAATTGTGATTCTTGATAAAACCCTATCCTGATTTCGTTTATATAAAATCGATTGTAATCTTTTTATGTAAGATTTTGGTTGAAATGAAAAAGTTAGTGTAACGAGCGGGATTCGAACCTACGACCTTCGGCTCAATACGCCGCTGCTCTAGCCACTTTAGCTATCGTAACTTCGATCCAAGTCGATCGAAATCCAAAGGATCGAAGTCTCGATGGCTGAAGTGGTTAGAGCAGCGGCGCATTGAGCCGAAGGTCTTGAGTTCGAATCCCGCTCGTTACACTAACTTTTTCATTTCAAACAAAACCTGAAATAAAAAGAATAATTAATTGAGAAAACTAATTTGGTCAATAGACCACTAAATATAATAGATTGACAGTAATCTTACAATTAATTACGGTTTTCAGTTGAGATAAAAAAGTCAATGGCACGAGCGGGATTCGAACCCACGATCTTCCGCTTGATACGCCGCTGCTCTACCACTTGAGCCATCGTGACCTTGATCCACTCGGACACCAACTTCCCATCTCAACCCCACCTTTTAATTTTCCCTCCTTTTTGCCATTTTTCAAATGTCGTGTAATCTATTTGATTCTCGGCGAGAAATGAAATAGCCACGGAGAGCTTTAGTGAAGGTATACTTCATTTTAAACTTATTAAATTCACTAGTTTCGTAGTCCGCTTGACCAATTACGACAAATGAAATGGCCACGTTTGTCGCCGAGAATCAAATAGATTACATGATATTTGAAAAATGGCAAAAAGGAGGGAAAATTCAAAAGGTGTGGTTGAGATGGGAAGTTGTCCGAGTGGATCCATGTCAAGATGGATCAAGTGGTAGAGCAGCGGCGTTTCAAGCGGAAGATCGTGGGTTCGAATCTCGCTCGTGCCATTGACTTTCTTATCTCAATTGAAAACCTTAATTAATTGTAAGATATTAATTAACCAAGCGGTCCACGAAACTAGTGAAATTGATAGTAATATTATATGTTTATTTTAGTGGAAACGAGACGTGCTAAGTACCAGAGGATCCCAAGTAGATCACGGCAGAAATTCGTCGAATTTTGTGAATAATCTTCAACCTGATGGGACCGAGGCGACATTTAGAGTTGTCATTCCGTGGATACCTCAGAGAGGGACTGACATCGGTTGTATAAGAGCTTCCCTGTTATCTCTGGGCTTTTAGGACGTCTGGCGCCTTCGTGACGGCCGGGAGCGAAACATCTTCCAGTCAAGAGGGCCATCGATTTTACCATTTTGAATTTAATTCCGTCGCAAATAGTTTTGTAAAGGTTTGATATCTAAAAACCTAACTTATTCGACGAAAACACGCTATTCAGAGAAGATAGCATTTGTCCAAATATGGACTAGCGGTTGTTTAAATGGTGACATTTACATCTGTCCTTTAACCGAAAGACCTTTGCGTATTCAAAGATGTATTGTAAAATAAATAAATCATAACTGGAATTTGTATAGGACTGCCATAAAAATTCACCATTGGAGGACAGCTGTTTTTTTGTTATCTTATTAATTTGGTAAGTAAAATAATTTTTATAAAAAATACCTGTGGATTATTCAATGTTGGATATGAAATAATAAATTAGACTCGTAGGCACTGGTTAATATTTTGCATCCTTGGCATACTTGGCTGAAGGAAAGCAAACAAAAAATTTAAATCGACGCCAAACCACAAGGGTGCCCATTACAGGTCATTAGCGCCGAAAATCAGTTTAGCGGTCGGCGAGTCAATTAGTCAATTGTAGTTCAAAAGAGTTGAAAAAAACTCACCTCCACTTTGTCCTACGGTTTTGGAACCACGTTTTGACTTGGGCATCTGTCATTTTGAGGGATTTGGCTAGTGCGGCCCTCTCGGCCGAGGCGAGGTACTTCTGTTTATGGAACCTCTTCTCCAGCTCGGCGATCTGGAGGCGGGTGAACGACGTCCTCGGCTTCTTCCGCTTCGGCGGCGTCCTGTTCTGGTACGGGTGGCCGATTCTTCGGGTCATCGGAAATGTCGCTGCAGAAGAAAAAACAAAAATCAGAATTCAATTAGTACGCGTTAAAATAAATTCCTTCAAAATAAATTCATAAACCAACTATTTCATTGAACAAGTTATTGATATTTTTTGTAATTTCAATAATAATTTTATTAAAAGTTTGGTAATATTTTTGTATTTTTGTTGTTATTAGTAATATTTAACAATTTCTATTGTGATTTTGTAAAATTTCCTTAAGAAACTTGTTTATAGTAGAAGAAATTATTACAAAATGAAATGACTTGAAATTGAGCGTTTATAACATTCTAATTATTATTGCTGTGAAAAATTTAAAATGTGACAATGTTAAAAAATCAAAACTAGCAGGCCTGACAATTTTTGATTTTGAGTTTCTATCGTTTAAAATTAACAACATAAATTATTACAAAATGTAATAAATATTAAAAGGTGGCGATATCAAAGAGTCAGAACTGTTAGATTTGTTGATTTTTGCGATTTTGATTAGTGGTAATAACTTCAAATAATTATTCTTTTTATCTAAGATCTTGGTTAATGTTGAAATAAACAGATATCAACAGGTCAGAATTGGCATGTTTGGAAATTTTTTCTATTTTTTGTTGTTATTAGTAATATTAACAATTTCTGTTATGCTTTTGTACAATTGCAACGGTTTATAACAGAAGAAATTACAAAAAGAAATGGCTTGAAATTGACAGATGTCAAAAAGCCAGAAAGGAACGGATTATAACATAATAAATTATTATTAATGTGCAAATATTATTAAATCAGAACTAGCAGGTCTGGAAATTTTTGATTTTTTTATATTGTTTAAAATTAACAAAATAAATTGTTACAAAATTAAACAAATATTAACAGGTGGCCATATTACAGAGTCAGAAGTAGGAGATTTGTTGATTGTAGCGATTTTCTATTAATAATAATTTCAAATAAATTATTCTTTTTATTTCTCGTTGAGATGAATTAATTATAATATTTTTTAGCGATTTCTGTTATACTTATTATAAACATTGTTTTATAATAACAAATATAAAATTATTATAATAAAAATTATATATTATAATAAATAAATTTTATACTAAGTGAAATTATTAAAAAATATAATAAATAAAAAAAAATAATCAAAAGTGGAGGTTTTGTAATTTTGTCTATTTTCCATTAATAATGATATTTTTCAACAATGTTTTTTATAATTTTATTAAATGTGGCATTAATAAACTGTCCATTAAAAATAAAGTAGAAACAAATGACATAAATGTTAAAATGTGCAAGTATCCAAAAGTCAAAGGTGACAGATTTAATCATTTTTGCTATTTTGTAGTATCAATGTTTTTTTACCATTTCCGGTTACCCTTTTATCATTAATAATCAGTCACATAGAAGACAATCATAGACAATCATTAAGAAAATTGCATAAATGTTTAAATGTGCAAACAAAAAATGTCAGAATTGTCAGGTTTGGGGCTTTTTATGTTTTCCACTTCTTATTATTTTATTGTTATTACTTTTTATAATTTATGCAATACAATAAGCACAAAATTCGAGAGTAGTCTTTGAAATTAATAAACGCATTCTAAAATAATAAACTATTTGAATGCTAGAAGCATTTTAACAAGAAAATAAACAGGTTTTTTAATGAGCTATTTTATGTTTCCTTTTTTTAATCATACTCATTTAATCTAGCTAACTGGGTTCGGTAATCATCCGCAGTGCCATGCCTATCGAGTATTCCACCAAGTAGTAGCTTTAATATTAAATTTGAGATATCAGTCTGAGTTTGCTAACAATCAGAGTTACTGACAGATTGATATCCTTAGACAATTTTACACTAATTATTGTTACATATATTACTGTTTCTGAAAATATTTTATAACAGCCAAAAAAAGCGAGTAAATGTTATTTTATATATGATCACAAATCGTTAAAACTTGAACTTACTCCCGGTCATACAAGAGGGCTTGTACTTGACTGGTTGTCGCGGACGGAAGGTGAAATAATTTGACTATAAATCATTAAATTAATAGAAAATAAAATTCCAAGGACTATGCCAGGATTTGAACCCAGAACCGCAAAACGGATCGAACGTCCTAACCACTGGGCCATTGCGGTCTGCATACATACTTTTTCCCCTCACTTTACATAGATGTGTGTGTGTCTTTTTCTTCGTTTAGTTCGTTTATTTAAATGACCAGGACTTGTAATCAATCATTTACATAATAAGAGGTTTTAATTAACATTATTTTTATTATAAACTTTATTTTTTTTTACGTAAAGGTAAAATCGTGTACTTCATTAAATTTCAACTTGCCAGCCATTATATTTTACAATCTCTAATTATTATCTTCATATCGCCCTATATTGTCCTCATTTAAATATTCACATTCTTAGATTCCTTGATTAGTTGTTTATGGTTATAATTTTTTAATGTTTCTATGTATAATTTATCCATTATTGTTTACTGAATCGTTGATTATTTTTTTATGACCGATACTAGACCATCAAAACAATTTAAGGTTTTTCAACTTGTCATGTATATTTCATTTGACGGACAAATATATATTTTTTAACAATTTCTATTTATGTATGTATATATTTTTAACTTAACTAATTAACTGTGTTATTGATGTTGATGTGTAGCAATTTTTCAATTTCAACTATTATATTAACAGACAGATTGCTAACTATGATGTTGATTTTTTATGGAAGAATACAGTGTGTCTTTTCAATTTGTGTAAAGACTGTATCAAAGGAATTGTAAATGCACATTGTTATCTATCTAGAGATTCTGATGACAAATAAAAATTTTCCAATAAAGACTAAACAGGGGAGTCCATCATTAAACGTTTGAAGCTTATGTTTTTACGAGGTAATAGATGGACAAATAAAGATGGTATGGAGAAGAGAAGGGTAAAAAAAGACGAGGTGAAGGGGAGAAGGGGGGTTGCCGGACAGAATGAATTAGCGTTTTCATTTTTCTCCAGAGCCGTCTCGGCCAATAAAAATCACCGGCCGAGGGGGATGAAGTGAGCGAGAGGGGGTTTTACCCCGGCATGGGGGCGGATTACCCTTAATGAGAAATTCCGGACATTATTTTTTACCCCTCTTCCCTGGAAAGAGAAACGGCTACAGAGTCGGTGGAAAATTAATTTCGCACTTTTTACGAAGTTTTTTTTTCTAACATGGAGGGAGAACGGGGCAATATTAATTACAACCGGATCCTCTCCTTCCGGCAATTTCAACCTCCGTGCTAACTCTATTTTAAAATCGAATCTTTTAATCAATAATTGATCATGTCTTTCAACACCTTTCATCCAATCGGGCAATAAAAAAAAACTATTGATATTTACCCATTCGATTAAGTTAAAACACACATATAACCATAAAAATTCTATGTTTTTCATTTATTTATAATATTAACCTACACAAAATTTCCATTTCAAAAAAGGTAATATTTTATATTTAAAGCTGTAATTACGGTCTCCCTCTTTGTTCGTGTTAAATATTAAAGATTCATATTTCAGAAATTTTTTTAAGTTTCTGAGGTCAACAATTTATTATTAATGTGCCTATTAAGGAAACGTGGGTCAATTCATCCGCCATATAAATGTCCAGGCTTTTCAAATTAGATTAAAAAGTTTTATCATAAAAATGAATGTGGTAAAAATAAACTGAGAGAGAGAGAGAGAGAGTGTGTGTGTGTTTGTGAGAGAGAGGAGATGAAGTAGTAAACAGCTTGAAAAACAAATGATAAGAGAGCGTATTAAGAAAAATTAATGAATAAAAGAGCAATAACGGAAAATCTGGAGAAAAACAGAAATTGCAGCTAAGTAATGAATAGGGTATCTCAGAACAACCTCCCTTGTAATTCTCCGAGGTTCATTCATAGAATGGTAATCAATTTACCTTTCGTCATTCGATTTCATTGTAATTTTCAATACAAGTCCATGATCATTGTCGTTATGATTGCGTGATGGGTCGGGCGATATGAGTTGACGACGAATAAAAACGCCAAAGCTCATTCGGAGGCCATCAGGAATTTGATTTTGACCCGTTTATCTAAGCGTACTAACACGCACGCAATCAATGAAGGATAAAAAAAATTAATGTACAAGAAAAAGAGAATTGTGTGGCCGTATTAACACAATTTTATAATACAAATTATATTCTTCTAGTATAGACCTCAATATTGCTTTAAATTTTAAAATTATATTATTTTTTGGAGTAAAGAAAATCAAATCACCAACGGAATTTGTGTATGGTTTTTGCCTTGTTTAAAAACGAATTAATATAAGAGGTATCACTGATGGAAAATATCACCATCGCAACATTTGCCGATGATACCGCTGCCCTGTCAGTCGAAAAACGTATCCATGCTTCCACGAACCGACTGCTCAGTCAACGGCGTCCATTGCTGGACATTTGGAAGTCAAAATAAATCCAGAAATCCGTGCAAATTTCACAAAGAGAAAATTAGACGAACCAATCGTCTTTAGTAGTAGGGATAAGAATAGGGTTAAAAGAGGGGGCTATTATCACACGACATACATATAAGCCCAATCCGCGTCTTAAGCCACACGAACACCGAAGCAACAGCGTGCTACATAGACAGACATGGTAAGACGATTGAAGAGGACAAAGCCATTTCTTTAATTCTGTAAAATGTTACGAGTTTAACTCAAATAGGTAAACTGTGAATAATAAGTGAATTTAAGTGTTTTTATTACTAAATTAGCCATTGCAACATTAATAGATGGTCTCATTTAACCAATTTTAATAAATAAAATGTATTAAAAAATATGAATGATAAGGTTTATATTACTATCCAGCTGTACGCGAGGTATCACAGTTGACCATGGGCATTACGTTTTCTGAATAATGTGACTTTCGGCTGAAAGGATTGATTGGATGGATTGTTCTTAATTTTCCATTTACTGGAGAATATAGCTATGTGGTAATATCCTTCTTTAACCTGTTACTTACAGCATAACAATTATGATGGATA